TTACATACAAATTCGACTTAAGGACAGACCTTGGGAATGGAACTCGTTCTTAAACTGGGGAATATCTGTATACCTCAAGAAAACAAGAATGCTTTGCGTTTTTATCGATGGGTTCATAATTGTGGGAAGCCACTGATAGTTAAAGTACCCCTGTCCAGTGGTGCTTTTGACTGGTCTCAGAGATTAGGAAACATAGGTAAAATACTATTAAATAATTGCTTAAAAATTCATCTGGTATAATCACTTTATCTCTCTCAAAGAAAATGCTTAGATTACAGGAAGTAGTACAATTAGATGACTGTTTCTGGAGGACAGTAGCTTTTCTTAATGTATTTAAAGCTTTTATATCAAACATTTGTGCTGTTGCTCTCCATATTATTTGTTGAGGAAAGGGTCTTTATCTGATTTCTTAGAAAATATGCTAAGCTTCAAGCTGTCCTTTTTTTTGCTTAAGTTTGAGTTGTGAGTTTATGATAAACTGAACCCCTAACAAGTCATGCTTTGATGTCACAGGTGACAACAATCGGATTCCTGTTATCAGCTCCTTTAAGATCAGGGACCAGCAGAGATCTGCTGTTTCCACCAGCTGGTTGCTTCCTTACAATTACACATGGTCTCCAGATAAGATCTTCGTCACCACACCATCTGCAAACTATACTATTCGGGATTTCCAGAAGTTCTTTGTGGACATTGGTTTTGAGGATGGTTGGCTCATGAGAAAAGATACTGAAGCTTTGGTTTACAGCATGACTCCTCCAGGGGTACGCATACACTGTCTTTACGGCACGGGGGTAAATACCCCAGACTCATTTTTCTATGACAGGTTACCAGACAAGGAGCCGACGATCTTCTACGGGAACGGAGATGGAACAGTGAACTTAGAAAGTGCCTTGCAATGCCAGAAGTGGGTGGGTCAGCAGAAACAAAAGGTGATGCTTTATGAACTTCCAGGAAGTGAACATATTGAAATGCTGTATCATAACCTAACCATATCCTATGTTAAAAAGGTTCTTTTTGGCTCATGATACAGTACAGCTCAACCTTTTTTCTCCAAGATGTTTGAATGCTTTTTTAAATGGGGAAGCAAGAATGGAAGTTTTGGACCTCTATTTTTAAGGCTTTTATTATTATTATTTTTGGCTTATTGAGTCTTCTTGGAAATCTGCTTTTATGTCAGTTAATGGTTACTTGTTTCCTAGAGTAATGCTCGTAACTTGCCTGACAAAATGCACTTTAGCTGCATTTAGGCATCTCTAGTGCCATCTGTGTGAAGACTGTTCCGTGCTTATTCTCTGGGATGTAGAGAATATTTCTCTTTCCATATTTATTAAGCTATAATAACATTAAGGAGAGGATATTAGGATTTACACCCAGAGGTTAAGTGCTGGATTGTTATCGCCAGTATGAACCTGGGCATTGTGAAACCCCAGTGACAGGTGTTAACATAGAGAGGCATGGATTTAACCTTAGAGTAACCTTAACCTTAGAGCTCAACCTCAGCCAGATGTGAATTGTTCTTGAAAATAATGCAGGAGCTTGGAATTCCTTACAAGGTTTTCTAAAGTAAGATGAACCTATTAATTTGGTTCCTACCTGAAAGGATGCAGCTAAAGGCTAACGAGAGAGCTCTTTATTAATGATTTTCACATTAGCATCCTTAAGGTGGTGATCGAGATCATTTAATTCTTGACTGTTTCAGTATTGTCAAAGGCTAGTGCTGAGATAGGCACTAGCCTTCCATCTGCGATTTGCAGTGATCTTCCAACAACCCATTGTTTTTTGAAGCAAGATACTAATCCCACTATTTTTGCTACTGCAGATATGAAATTTGGATGTTGCTAAATAAGTTTTAATAATATATTTCCCCAAATCCAGGCATGCACTAGATACAATATTGATATCCGTTTCAACTGGTGGTGTCAATCCTCTACCCTATTCCTTTGATTCCCTCCTATAGGGGAGATCAAGTCTTCTTTCATAAAGCTAAAAAGAATAGAAGGGCATAATTTAGGTCTGCAGTGAGCACTCATAATCGTGAGAAGCCCCTTGAGAGAACGACAGCTAGAATTCCCTGGAATTAGAGAAGACAAATGATTCGGAACTTGGCAGTTGGTACGTGTGGCCACCCAAATAGGAGCCTGTAGTCATCTGTTCAATAGCAATCCAGCAATAAAATAACTTGAGTGAATGCAGCCCAGTGCTGGTTTCAGGTTGCTTTGTGCTACTCCATATAGAGTTCCTGTCTGTTGAACATAGTTGCTAACTTTCGAAGGGTAAAATGTTAAACCTGGACATTTTTCAGTCCGTGATTTCATAGAATGCTTTGAATGCAAAACTTTGAAATTTGTGCCAAACCTCCCAGCTGGAACATCAGAGTAATCTGGAAGTTTCAACACAGTTATTTCAAGTCTGTCCTCCTCTGACCAGAATGTGGAGCACCACTTGGGCAAATGCTCTGTTTCTGATTCGAAGGCCTTGGTCTGTGTGTCTGAGAAAACAAATACATGGAATCTGCCCAAAACAGCTCGTTGTCTGCTTTGTCATTAAGCTTGTGTAATATACTCATGCCTTCTTCTCATCTTCCACTTTTTATAGATCATGAAGCATTCGGCTGTTCAGTTCATTACATTTTAGGACAGACTCACAAGCTGCTTACCTCCAAATGGATCAGGCTGCAATCCATCCTATCAGATGGCCTTTTTTCCTTTTAATCCCACCTTTATTATTTTTATAAATAACTCAAGGCGGCAAACATATTTAATACTCCTTCCTCCTCCTATTTTCCCCACAACCTCAACCCCGTGAGGGGGATTGGGCTGAGTTTTTAGCGTCAGATCGGTGTTGGCTTCTTTGTTCAGTAATGCCAGGACTTAGCTTAAAGGTTGCTGACAATCGTCGTGAACCAGGTGCAGTTTACAACTTTGGAATGTTTCCACCACTTTCTTCCGTGAGAAGAATGCTTCAAGCCATGCCTTGAAATTGTCAGAGTAAATCTCTTTTCCTTTTTAATGTAGTTGCAATTGTTAGTTCTTCAGGGTCTCAGTGCCAGTGCCACCTGACAAGCCACCATCCCCGACTTTGATTACAGGGTGAAATGTTTCTTACAAACACCTGCATTGTATCTAGCCTACATTTAAAGCCTCAAGGTACTATTAAGTGTAGGGCCAGCTGAACTCTTGTGGCTGAAATACACCCTTTTAAGTTCCTTTTGTGGGCAGATTTTTGGTCTGGCCTCTATAGCAATTTTTTTAAAGTCTGTTGCAGTAGAGAACTGGATAAGAAAATCCATCGTTTGGAAGAAGGATGTGAAATGTCTTCAGTGTTTGGCTATCTGACACTGTATTTACATAGTGCCCCGAGAGACATGGCATGGAATCTAAGCAACCCCCCCCCCCGCCAAATGTGCATATGCCCACCATTAATCTCAGTTGTTTCTAAGGCCTGATGTTCATCCATGTTCATAGGGAATTGGTTGCTTCTAGTCCTTTGACCAAGCAACACTTCTGTGCATGTCTCGATCCAATTTTGTAGTGCTGTCAGAATTTTGCCTGTGACCCTCATCCATCTAGGCCTTCATCTTCTACCCCACCAGCTTAGTGACTGTTTTTGTATCAATTTTTGTGTCCGCTAGTAGCTGTCAAATATGATAGCTTCCATAGGCCTCTCATTGATGTCTCTGTAGGTGATGGTATTTTTTTATTCCAAGAAACCTTACTCTTTACCTTTTGTCTGTGTGGTGCCTTTTTGGTGTCATCCTCTAACTGAGGATTCATCCTCTGGCCATTTGTGGTAAATCTTATTCAGACAACAAGTAGTTTATACCTGCAGCAATCCAGGATGAATAGTCTTTATATCTATCACTTAATATTGTTAATTATGTTGGTCTATAAGCCTAAATAGGTTCCAACCTGTCCAGCGTCTTAATTTGTTCATGACTGATAGCCATAAACCTCAAGCTGCAAATTGGCTTTATAAAACTGGCTTTTCTGAACCCACATCTCAGAAGCAAGAACTTACATAATGGTTTTCTGTAGCTTGGGAATGAAATGCTCAGAGTCACATTTTCACTGGACAAAGACGATGTTGGTTAGCGGTCCTAGAATCTATTTCTTTGGATCATGCTTTTATTGGTTACCAAGACAGTATATGAAGGTTGCATTCCCCCACCAGATTCAAGGTATGTCTTGCAACTCACAAGTGCTTATAAACACTTTTTAATCCATCCAAATTTTTGGCTTTTCGAAAACCCAAATACTTTCTAAGGACCAAATGTTGTACTACTGAGAGATTACTGTATGTATGTATGTATGTGTGTCTATATATATATCATACATACATACATACAGTAATCTCTCAGTAGTACTACTGAGTACTACTGAGAGATTACTGTATGTATGTATGTATGTGTGTCTATATATATATCATACATACATACATACAGTAATCTCTCAGTAGTACTACTGAGTACTACTGAGAGATTACTGTATGTATGTATGTATGTGTGTCTATATATATATCATACATACATACATACAGTAATCTCTCAGTAGTACTACTGAGTACTACTGAGAGATTACTGTATGTATGTATGTATGTGTGTCTATATATATATATATATATATAAAAAAAAAAAAGATGCAGATGCTGGATGGGACTTGAGCCCCCTTTTAAGCTGTTAATGCTGCTGCAAAGTTTTAAGGTCACTATGTGTAATAAGCAATAAGTGCAAATTGAGAATTCTCGCTGTTACGCTGGTTTGTGTGGGGTGTTGAGATACTCAAGAGTTTCAGGGACAGAATAATTACTTCGCTGTTGGGTTTAACAGTATTTTGTACAGAACACTGTCTGCCAAGGCTTATTGTTTTTATAAGCAGTTTCTTTTGTGTATGAACAAGTAGATTTTTTTCACATTTGTCATATTTTAATAACTTAATAAAGTTGATGAAGTGCTATAAATTAGCACTAATGTGTTGTAATTTTCAAGTATACTTCAGAACCTTTGGGGGAAGCAGTGTGCTGGGGTGTGGTATGGAGTACACAAGGGAAGGTCAGTGAGCTGTTATGTCTGTCTTTTGTTTGGATTTAAAGTGAACTTGGATGGTCTGGGTCTAGAGGACTTATCTGCGATAGACAACTGGAGGCTGAAGTCAGGCGCCAGATGATAGTCAACTCATGGGATCATGAACATCCACTGGGTTGGCCAAATGAATAAATGCATGTAACAGCGTCACACAGATCCTGTGACTTAGTTCTTCAGTTAGATGTTGGGATGCAACTACTGTGATGCCAACACACACATCATTGTGATACCATTTGGGTTTCTGTGGATGCTCTGGAACTGGCTATGCCCCTATAGAGGCTGTAGGGTATGGCCTGCAGAGGAACAAATGTGGCAACTTCACAATGACTCTGCAAGTCTGGGCTGAGGGTACTTGGGAGCAGTGGAAAGTGCATGGTGTGAGAAATACCTGAAAGCCTTCCTCTCTTTGTTAAATGCTCTTGTCTAGCTTCATGGTTTTATCCCAAAACACTGTTCCTGTCGTATCCACCTCTTCAGTCTTATCTGCTCGTTCATAACATTTTATGCTTCTTCCCATTAAGTAACGTAGGCAAAAAAGCAGTTTGTCTCATTGACCCCTGCAAAATTTCATATTATCTGCAGAAAGTTAAGCTGGGATAGGGGGGTCTTGAAGAAGCTCAGCATCTTGCTGCTTCAGTACTGTAGGTTGGTAGTTTGACTTCCTACAATTTATCAGGGTGCCCCTAGTTGCAAGAGAATACAGTTGCACTATACCATGATCCTAGAGTTTAGCATATTATGATTTTTGTAGCCCACTAAGTGGTGACTATAGCTCCAGAGGATATGGCAGCATTTCATAAATACTTCAAGAAAGATGGCAAGAACAGTGTCTTCCAAAAGGTAGGTGGCTCACTAAAATCAGCAGGAATGAAGTCATGATTAGTCTCAAGAACTCGAGCGGGACCTCACTGCGGCTGAAGAACTTCCTTGGTTTCCTCTGATAAATCTCGATGGTTCCAGATATTGATGTGGCTGTGTAAAGTGGGGGAAGCTTGAAGACCTCCCAGTGCCTATCCAACAATTCTGTTTTATGCAAAGTTCTCACTTTCTTCTGGGGTGTGTCAAGCTTGTGTTAAACACTTCATTTCTTAGGAACCCTCTGAGAGGAGATTACAGTCCTTGATAAGCTGAAGTCTCCTTGGGTTCATTCTTGACACCTGGGCATGCAACCACAATAACAATGACTTCTTATGCATCACTGAGGAAGAGGAAAAATATCATCTTCCCTAATGAAAGTAATGGCCGGAACGAACCTGCATGTATTTTACACACACACACACACTTATTATGAAGGTAGCATTTACCTAGAGAGAACAAAGGTAAAGTCTTTGAGTCAAGTATAAATTCTGAGCACCTTGCAGGCACTATCAGGCAGCTGCTGTACAGTTTTGTGGTTGATGCCTTCTTGAAGAGTTTTGAACTTTTCAGTCTAGCCTACAGCTCCGGATTCTCTGGTGGCCTTTCATTCATACCTAATAGTGTCCTACACCACTTAACTCCTCTGGATTGGCCAAGGAAGCCATTGCAATACTTCTGCCTTACACCTCCACCACCACTATCACTGACTCAGCACTGTCTTATTTCAGACCCCAATATGCCACTGTGTTTTGGAGTTCCAAGTAGGTACGCTATTGTTACAGCCTTTCTGCCTAGTACCTTCAAGCAGGCCAGTATCTCAGAACAGTGGGCCTGGTTCATGGTTAAAAGACTCCGGACCAGAAATGTTCAGCTCACTTTGCAAGGTGTATCTCTGACTCAGCTCAACTTTGTGTATGTGCAGAGAGAGGAGCTGTCATGTAGGAGGCTGTCGCTTCTAAGTATTGTTGGGGGTGGAGGGTTGGGGAGCAAAAAGAAGAAGAAAAAGAAAAATCTGCCTAATGAGGACTAGCAGATAGACAGTGGCAAAGGTCTTAGATAGGCCCTGTTTTTGTGGAAACTTTCTAAGACTTGGTCTCTGTCTTGAAACAGGGAGCTGATGCAATTGTTCACATAACAAGGTGGACTAGCAGGAGTGACTTTAGCTCCAGCCTTGGGCTATTTCGCACTAAATCTTTCTGAGCTAGGTGTTTGGCTTAGAATGCTGTCAGCCCTCAAGGTAAACCAGATTAGGAAACCAAAGTTATGAATGCTGATACTGCTTTTTTTTTTTTGTAAAGTTCCAGTAACAGAGTCTTGCAAGTCTGAATGTGCTTCCCCTCTCCCTCCCTTTATTTTCATGGGAACTAGGGAGGGTCCTATCTGAAATGCTTTCTCAAGTTACGATTCTGCCCTGGACTCAGGTTTCTTTTATCTGACCATTCTCTTGGTAGTGGCTGTTCCTCCTGTTCCTCAAGGTTATTCCTTTTTCCCATTACAGATGCTCACATAATACGCTACCCCTCTCATGAGTTATCCAGTTAAATGCCTCATGCCTATAGGCCCTAAATGTTTCCTCAATACAATTCATTCTTGCTTCCTTCTCCTGTATTCCATTTTAAGAATCTGGCATTGCTTGTCAGTCTCTATTTAATTTGTGATACCATTTTGTACTATGAAAAGCTCTGGAAATTTCAAATGTTTGCATATGATTTGTTCAATTTAGGATGATTTTATTTGTTCCCCTCAAATAAACCAACAAAGCTAACTTGGTTTAATCAGTAGCTGAAATGAACGTCCTTCTCCAGCCAGCAGAGGGCAGGGCTTCCCCTGGAATGCTGGAACATTTGCAATCCAAACCGAGCCCAGTTTTGTAATCTTTGGAGGTGAAAGAGAAAGAAAAGTGTCAAGATGAAATTTCATATGCAAGGATTTACTGCTTAAATTTATTATTTATGTTGTGTCTACCTCTTCATTCAGTCCAAAAATTAATAAAAACATGCCTTGACTGTAGGCATGTCCTTTCAGATAGAAAGGAGGAAGGAAGCACTATGAGAAAATGGGGGAAGAGAAATGGAGAAAAACCACAAGAGAGACTCAGAAAAATTCTGGACCCCAAAATGCAAAAAGCTAATCTTCGTGTGTGTGTGTGTGTGTTAATGTTTTTTTTTAAATTAAAGATTAACAAAGGGCTTCAGCTAGCAGAAAGACACTGGTGAAGGGTTCCATAAATGTTCTTTATAACTCAAAAGTTTGCTTGAAGACTCTTTTTTGTTTGTTTTTAAAAAGCTAATTTACTACCAGTTTCCTGTATTTGGATGCATTAGGTTAGTGTTCCAGCAAGTGGTGGCCTTGATTCTGTGGCAAGTGTAGGGGTAGTGTAGGGGATTTCTGGGAGTTGAAACCCACATGTCTTAGTGCTGCCGATTTGAAAAACACTGCTTTAAAGGAAGGCAGACCTAAGATCTAAAGGCCTTTGGGCCTGTTCTTTATCTGTTGTGTATTTATATAACATTCTGTCTGTTCCTCACAGAAGAGCATGTATGCTCTCTAGGCTAAATACCTTTGGGTGCTGGAAGGGGTGGTGTAATAACCTTCCTTTCCAGAACTGAATCTGTCGCTGTGCAGCGGGTTTGTTGTCAACATCAACATCACATATTCTGCTGAGCAGTCCACTGAACCATTCGTGGTGCACTGAATGAATATCAACCCTCCTTATAAACCTCTCCAGCTGTTCTACAGAAGAGAATACATGTTTCCTCTTAGATGATGCATCCTTAGAAACCTCAAAAAGGGTAGCAAAATATTGTTCAGTTATGTGATGGTCTGTGGGAATAACCTTGGGAGACAGGAGGAAGAACCACAGACTGGACAACCATCATGTAAAAGGCATCTCAGCCCACAGAAGGAGGGAAGGCGTGGGAAGCGTCTCAGAAGGGACCCTCCCTAGTTTTCTGGAGATGAGAGGAGAGGAGAAAGGCTTTCAGACTGGCAAGATTCTGTTACTGTAACCTTAAAATGAAGATAGAGCTGGTACTCCTGGTTCTGCTTCTTGTCTGGACTACCTTGCAGGGCTAACAATCATGAACACTATAAGGAACTCTGGGTATAATTAAGTTCAGCTAAATTGCTTCTGTGTTAGAAGGCAATTAGCTATGCGTTTTCTTTTAATATTTTAGTTGCATTACATGTTTTGTTATTTGATGTTTTAAGTACAGAATTGTGATTGATGACCATACATTACATTTGATTGACTGATTAACAGTGAGGAGCATATGATAGGATAGATAGATAGATTGACTGTCAACCAAATTCACAATCTCAAAGGAAAGAGAGGTCAAAGAATAAAGACAATGCAAAGTTTGAGCAACTA